TGTCGTGCTGTCGGTTATGATGATAAACCATCGATTCCCGTTGGTCAGTCGATCTTATCAAATAGAATAGTGTTTGGCTATTCCGAATGGCAAGAGCTTTCCCCATATCCTGAGCTTCCATCTGTCACCAGAACTCTCGGGCTATGCGTAGACCCTTCATTATTTGACGTTTGAGGGACTTCTGTGCTTGTACGGATGTACTAGCATCAATCAGGACTAACGACCTCGACCAAACTCAATGGTTATTTCGTCGTTTGGAGAGGTCATAAAGATAGACGGCGAGATAACTCAGTGATTAGAGCGCGAATTCATTGACCAGGTTAGTGGTTCACACCCTATTGCTTCATTCGGGTGACGCGTTGGCTAGGCACCGAAAGGGTGTTACAGCCGAATATTTTATTTTTATTCAGAAAGAGCACTGAACGCGGTTAGCATGGCCGCTTTGGCATTTGGCAAAGCCTAATCTACGTGCTCGTCTTCATTGCAGTGTTGGTTTACAGTGGACAGTAGCTGAGCTAGTTCTGATCAATACTTCTAACATACGGTATTCCCTAAAGATAGTGAGTGCGAATGCCTTTTACTGGCTTGTGAGAACCTGGAAGATGGCGAATTGTCGGGTGCTCTCACACCACAGCGTGGTTGGATTCAAGCTGCCAGCGGAACATATGAATTGTGACCGTCCATCGTTAGCTGATAACCACATGATTCAATTAGTTCCGCAGTCAATTTGCACTTGGTGGCCACCAGATTGCGCAGTGCGAGTGTTTGTGTTGAAAATTCGTGCTCGCCAGAGACAGTCGATGGTCAGCACACAACCAGAGGAGTTGTTCTCCATTGCCTATCCGGCTTCCGTCGAGTCCGTTTCAACCACCCAGACATCATCATCATCATGGACACCATGACATCAATGTTTAACACTCTTGCTTCACTGCCGTACAACCATGATTTATTTGCAAGCCTTAGTGTGAAGAAAAGAATGATGGTGGACAGGGAAGGGACTTAGTGCTACCCTGCTCCAATCGTTCCGAGGTGACTCGTTGCGGATTCTCCGACACCAACCCACACGAGCCATGGTCCTGAAAACGATTGTCGAACACCTCAAGATGTCTCAGTTCCACTGCTCGGACAAGCCAAGCCTCACGGTCCTACAACAAAAGAGCTCACCCTGTAGCTTGGTACACATGTCCCCTTAGATTCAGGGATATACCGCTTTGACATCATAGGTGTCTCACATTGGCAAACGCGACCCGAACCTTGCAGATTCGTGCATTGACCCCATCTGTAACACAAATACAACTTCCAAGATATGTAAACCGCTCCAAAACTTCGAGTGCTTCCCCCTGGATTGGCGTGTTCAATGACTGCAGGTCCAGGAGCATGACCTTACACTTTGTGGATTCAGAGTGCCTACCAAAGGATGGAATGGCTGCGACTTCTCTTACTCTTCGAAGAGGTGAACGATGCCGTCTGCGTGCTCCAGATCGATGAGGTTTTCGTCAGAGGTAACCCGGACACATGGGTTTTGAAGACTTTCTGGCGTTCATCACATTATTTCGTTGATCACAAAAGTGGATAGAAATGGAGAGATTAGACATCCTTGGTGGATATCGCTTCGCGTACGGAAGCCCTCTGTATACTCTCACACGTCCAGACTTCTGAAAATGCGAAGAACGTATCAAGTTCATAAACTTGCGGGGAATTCCTTGATGGGCAAGCGTGTCAAGGAGAACAGACCAGTCAACCGATTCGAATGCGGCTTGGTACTCCAGGAATACTAAAATTGTGGGTCGTTTATACGTATGAAGTTGTTCTAGAACTTGGTTGGGTGTGGAGATTCGGTCAACTCAACCTCTACCAGGCTGGAACGCCGACTGCCGCTCTCGAGTCAGTATCTCACGAGCCACCGTAGGGCGACGAAACACAATTGACGCCAACAGTCTCGTTACAATCGGGTTCATGCTGATCTCCCTGTGGTTACCACACTCACTGCGCGCCCCTTTTTTGAAAATGGGCACTATCACCGACTGTCCCCAATTGTCTGGGGCAGACTCCTTTTCCCAAATTCGTGCAAGCAGATCAGACAAGCGTTGATTGAGAACTTCACCCCCGTCTTTGAACAATGCGGATGGGAGGTCATCCGGACCAGAAGCTCAGTGGCGCTTGAGAGACCATATGCAGCCGTGAACCTCCGAAGCCGTAGGTGGTTCCACGTTCACTGTCCAGGGTTCTACTTCATCTGTGGGCTCTAGATGAGTTCCAGCTGGTGGCCACGACAGTCGTTCGAAGTGTTGAGCCTACCGGTCGTGGCGTCCACCTTTATTCTAGATGGTCGTCCCATTCTGATATTTGATGATTTCACTCACAAATGGTTTCTGGGGACCGGTCGCACGGATCAACTGAAATAATCTTCGGGTATTACCGGCTTTCTGGGCCTCACATTTCTTTGGCTTTCTGTGTCTACCATACTTCACGGTCGGCTCACTTTCACTGCGTGTGATAACTCTTCGCACTGGGTTATGTTCGGGATCGGCTGGGATATTTCTCCGAGATTTAAGCTGTGCCACCGTTCGGTCTGATATCCAGTGTTGGCTTGCGCCTGGTTGGGCCATGCCACAGGCGAAATTCCCTGCATTATTGAAAGAGGTGACAATCTCGTCCCAATGTGCGTTCACATCTGATTGTGGAGCGTTTGGAAGGGACTCTAGAGGATGGTTCTGGTAAATTCGTCTGACATCCGAATTTGCCAGTCTCTCAGTTGCCAAGCGATCTATCTGCACTTTACGCGGCCCTGGAAAACCTATGGAGAAGCGACCCCGGGCGAGCGCGTGCTCAGAGTCCACAAATGTGTTCCAAAACGACGGCAGTTGGTTATTGGTCCGCGCCATCGGTAACTGATGGCAATGTGGTCGATTTGAGTTTGTGGTGGGCCCGCCGTTGAAGAATACAATGTGGCCAGACGACTTCGGCTATTTCGGAAGTTCGTACTGGATAAAAACAGCCTGCGATCAACATACAGCTGAAGCAATCGTCCCCCACTGTCCGTACGTACCTCCCAGTTGAGTCTCAGATGCACTAAGCCTGCCCACTTGCGCATTCATATCTCCGGCAACCACCACAATGTCTGAGCTTTTAGCTCGCCGCAGCAGGGCATTCAGGGCGTCGTAAAACCTGTCTTTGACGGCGTCAGAGCTACAGTCAGTTGGGGCATAGGCACACACGATAAACAGACATCTATCAACTTGCCGCTTGTGAGACTCTTTCACAGACGTTGCCAGACGAACCGCACAGAGGCGACTATCAACAGGTATCCAGTCAAGTAAGGATACTTCCGCCCGATGACTTAGCACAATACCAACCCCTGCACATCCCACCGCTGCAGCCTCTGGATCACCAGAGGTGCGTAGCCGGAAGCGAGTGGAGACTGACGGGGCGGTTAACTCAACCACTGTGCTTGCCCCTTGAAATCTCGTTTCTGAGACACAGCACACATCAATGCCAAGCAAGTCCAGTGTGAGAGCAGGAGCAGCTTGTTTTCCTGCTTGCTTCAGAGTGCGCACATTGAAGGCGACCAGATAGACTTGGTGTCGATGCTTGAAGAGTGATTTGGGCATAACTGAGAGTGTCGGCGCCATGTGACGAGCAGATACTGCACGCAAAACCGATGCAAGACGAACGGAGTTATCAGTCCTGAGTGCTTGGCCCACAAAAGAGTGGTTAATAAAGGGGTGGGTAGAGGTGGAAGAAAAAGTATGTGTAAGAGAAAAAAGGGAATCGTTAGCAGTAGTATGATTTCGGCTACCCGCCCTGCTGTATGCAGTAAGTAAGCCGACCCGGCTGATGGTGCCACGCGACGACCGATGTGGCATGAGAGTATTGTTAGTTGTGAACGTCATTATTGTATGAGGGCTAGGATACTGCCAGGGCACCCACACCTAGACAGGAGGACGACTAAGGTCCTCTAAAACCTAACCGCAAGGCAGCGGTTTTTGGCGGGGCGTGCAAATGCATTGTCGTTTCTATGGAACAAGTCGCCACATATTCCAACCCGCAACCTGGAGGGCCAGGAGACTGTGTTCGTCATACCTCTAACCATTGACCATCCTGATAGGAGAAACTCTGAGTGTCATGGGGACACCCCAGTATAGCTCAATTGATTGCTGGAGTGCGCAAACCGTCACACCACTGTAAGGTCCAGTCTTTTCGTGACTGGATCAGGCTTATCATGTGAGTAGACTCCTATCAGACTACAAAATGCTTTGTTCTGAGTAGCCTGCTGCTGGTTTCAACCGAACAACCTATGTTAACTTATGATAAGAGGGTGTAAACCCCATTCTACTGCACCTCGGAAGACAGGTGCCCTGGTTAGCCTTGAGGTCGATAATAGGGGTTTGTTACTCATTCGACTGGTGACCTTGTCGTGGAGATAGGTGAGTAAACTCTGGATCCAACGTGGTATTCCCCGGTCTTCGTCTTCCACTGTGGCAGTGTTATTTTGACTACTGCAAGGGAAGTAGGAATAATTTGAATGGTATGGGAAGGTTACTACATGAATATTGACTGCTTTTTACGATACTTGAATATGGCGCTCACACTGGGAAATGAAAAACTGGGGTTCCTTATGTATAGAACGTAGTCACAAAGTCGTGGGTGCTCGTTTACTTCCGTTTACCGTCTAATCCATCACCTCCCTCAGAGTCATCTTTGTGCGTGCAGCTTCCGCGAAAAAGCCTCGCTATTGTGCTCATATCTGAAAGGTCACCAGCGACGAATTTAACACGGTCTACTGGTTTCAAACGTCCAATCCTTAGTATCAGTTGTACAGGGTGCCTGGTAATGTTTATATCCTTTTTCTCTTCAGGTGTAAACTTCTTGGGACGGCCTTAGAAGTGGCTTACTCCCAGCTTGTTATTCGTGACTTTCTCACTACATTCATACTGCTAGACCTCGTCCGAATTTGTTGCATATAGGCCGACCAGCCGTAATTCGCCTAACTGTTATAGATGGCCGTCGAAATCGAGTCTGCTGAGTAAGTTTCTTGGGCATCCGAATTTACATCTTCCCTTCAAGCGTAGTTCGCCTGATCGAACAGTATCTAAAGGAAAGCAATCTGTCGAGAACCTTACAAACTCTTCAAGTATGTTACCGGTTTGTGATGAAAATTAGGAGTTACACATGTAGGAAGAAACTGGCATATCATTGAACACCGTTGATTCGGTGGAAGGCTTTATGAGCGAAATAACCAGTGGTCACTGGGATACCGTTTTGCAGGTTGTACAGAATCTCAAACTACCGGATCACAAACTGATTGATTTATATGAACAAGTAAGAGGTTCTACTTTTCACTCAGGTAACCAAGTAGATTGTCATTGAATTGGTGGAGCTTCGAGAACTGGGTGCGGCTCGTACTTTGCTACGTCAGACTGATCCAATGATTGCGCTGAAGCACAACTATCCTGATCGTCATGCGCACTTAGAGAATCTCTTGGCTCGATCCTACTTTGATCCTCGCGAGGTAAAGATCATTAATTTTCTTTTGCTAACCCGTTCTTAAGGCGTATCCCGAGGGACAGTCGAAGGAAAAAAGAAGGCAAGCCATAGCCAGTGCCCTGTCCGGTGAGGTCAGTGTGGTTGCACCCTCTAGGCTCCTGGCTTTGTTGGGACAAGCACTGAAGTGGCAACAACATCAAGGTTTGTTACCGCCTGGAACTGCCATCGATGTCTTTCGTGGCAAAGCAGCTGTGAGAGAACAGGAGGATGAAAAACCACCCACGCAGTTATCAACCACAATTCGGGTGCGTCTACTCTTACAGCCGCGTACAGTTTGTTTTCGTTTTCTGTTACCAGCTACTGCTCGTTATATTTGTTGAATTCCACTGCTTTTAATCTTAGAAGACCACGGTCTGGCCATTTACCGCCCAGTTGTTGCTAACATGCTTTCCTTTTTGGTTTTGTACAGGAAATATAATAACCAAATGCCTAGTATTTATACCAACGACTGTTGTCAGTACGTCAGTCATCTTAGATCTTTTCGCCATCAAGGTTATCTTCCTAGTAGAACAGTGCTGAGTCCTCGGAGTAAATGCGCGTTGCGTTCTTGGAATATGTACGACAGGTCTGCCACCCATCGTAATGATCTGTGTTTCAAGTGATTAGCATTCTTTGTCGAGGGTTTTATGTGGGTCGGCAAAATCATCACAGTGTGTTTGTACTTTTCCGGTTTAAGAAATCATGGTAATTTACCCATTCAACTCTTTTCAATACATTCTGTGAAGCGTTCTGCCAGTCGCTTGTCCAACGTATGCCCAACTATCCACCTCTACTTTACAGATCAGAGGGTTCCGCCTAGAATCTTTATGGCATCGGTCTCTGAATTCAAACTCCTGATGTTGTTGCCGAAGTCCCTTTCTATCCTACCTAGTCGGGATATCTTTGATTGTCACGTAGGCTTACGGCAACACAGATTGTTGTTTGCTGTCCTAAAACTAGTATTTCTGCTTCTACACTAACGACCGTTTCCTATGCGGCAAGAGAATGTTCCTCTTGCATCCTGATCCACCATGCCATACAGATTTGTACAGGAATTCGTCAAGTTGTCTCGCATTCACACAATGTTCCCCTGTCTTCTTTCACTGAGACTGAATATTGTATTAATAGCAGAGCCAAGCAATTAAAATGCACACGTGCTGGATTCCCGCTTAGAATAATCGATACACTGGACTCATTCTTCTTACCTCAGCGAAAACGAAGATTCCCAGACGTCCCATCACATCTCTGGTTCGCACACGGTCTAAACGTAAATGAAATAAAATGAACAAAATAACACTCAGTGTCTGTTCACTGTGACTGAACATACAAGCGATTATTTCTGTTTGGAGCTAAAGAAATTATTTTACCGGCTTTTCTACAGAAGTGCGATGGTCGTTTACTACAGTTGATTTCATACTTTTAAATAGATGAATTAATGATTATCCGTTTTTGGAGTTTGCTAGCGGGACTTGTTTCGCTGATCAATAGGAATGTAATTGTAGCCTTTGTGCTAAACAGAGGGCTGTTATGAATGGAACGGTAATTAACTTCATTTCATTGTTGACATGAGCCTATACCTTACAATCATGGCTTCCAATCGAATTTATAAAGCACCTCTAGTAACTTCTCTCTACTATAGAAACAAGATTTGATTGTCATCGGATAGTCTATGCGTCTCCTCACTTGTCGATTGTTGTCTCATTTTGGCTTAGAGATCGATCCATTGTAATTTCCAGGTATTTTCTGTTCAGATGGACAAATTTCCTACAATTGTGGCGCTTGATGGTCGCTTGAAGTCAGTACTCACTCGATTCTACAGTCTTTCACCTCATTTTACAACTGCCATGATTATTTCTGGTTAACTTCTCTCGGCTACTCAATCACAGGAGCGTCAATAAAGTTCATTGTGTTATTGTTTTCGAAAAAGCCTGGGAAAAAATCGGTGTATTTGTTGCTGGGCCTTGTTTCGGTTTTGACACAAAAGCTTCGTCAGGCCAAGTGACTAGGTTACGAGGTTGGTCGAGATTTAATAGGGCGGAAGGAGAACCAATCAGCTAAGTCAAGCTAAATCTGTGTTAGATGTCATCCAAGGTATCTTATGTGTTAGGGTGAGTCCTAAAGTGTTAAGCGGATGGGCAAACTCATATGGACCTGAGTACAGCTTTGGGTCTGGTTCCTCCCATTTGGTTCACGTTTAATCCCTCTTGAACGTCGCTTGCACTTCCGCTAGCAACTGAGAACGTGGCACACAGGCTTAAACAGCTGCATTCCTTCTAGTTGGAAACAACGTGCGATTTTCTGGTCAGTGGTTACTTGTTTCAGAGCGTAAACGACCTGTCGCACGTTTGCCTCCACCCTAGTCAGAAGCGATGTTTGCGCATACTATATATCTGGTGTTTCGATCGTGTATTTTCTTTCGCGCAAGTACAAGTATAAGCTAAGTCGAAAGATCCAAAAGTGCCGTAGATCTGCCTCATAATTGCGGCGAATCATCAGCATCACGAATCTCCAGGTATATTCGAACTCAGCGTTACGGGTGGGAGTTTGAGTACTGGTGGTTGATAATCGGTTGCTCATGCTTCCCACACTAAATTTCCCCATTCAACATGTTCAAAACCAGAAAAGTTCCTCGTTTTCCGCGTTATTTATTGTTGTGTAAAACGTAGTATTTTATTGCCCCACATGTACCAATTTTCATCCATTTGGGCATATAGTTGCGATTCTCATACTCATTTGGCCCAAATTATTGGAAACGTGATGCAGTAGCCACGGCTACTAACCTTTCTCACGGATTCGATAAAGCAATAGGTTTGTTCGTAGTTTATGTGGACTAATAAATTGCCAACAAATAAATCCGCTGGCACAGAGCAATCGAACAGGGACTTCATTTTTGTCTGTAAATTGTCTAGTAACGAGCTTCGTTCTCGCTATAACGTCCCTCTCCATGTTTTTGCAAAAAGGCGATAATAACCCAGGGTGATGCTCTAATGTGCTTAGGCTTTGAATTGCAAATGTCAACAAATTTTGTCAAAACCAACCAAAAAAGTATCCATGAGATTATTCTATTCCGCCCTGTTGACTATGATGTTTTACAGTGTTGCACCAGTATCGTTCGCTTCCGTCTAATTTATGGCGCGGCATGGACTTTCCTTAAAATCGCTTAGCTGCATTCAGAGCCTTCAGAAAACTTTGACGTTACTTCTGCAGTTTGTTTAACTTGTATTAGTTTGGGTTGGCCTATGGACCTATCCAGTACTTCGTCACCCACTTCGTCCTCAATCAAACTGGCGGTTTCACCTCGAACATGCCGCAACCATTGCTGCATCCATTTTAGTGAATTTACGCTGCGTTGATAGGTCCGCAGTCGTGACTTTAAGTATTCACGAAAAGCAACACAGGTGTTTGCCTAAACACCACGATCCATGTCCAACGGGACCTAGTAAGACTGGGATCAATTCGGAGTTGTGGTAGTTCTGACTGCAGTGGTTAAAAGATGTTTTCTAGTCCACTCTTTCCTCGTTACTTCGGACCTGGAGCCGCATAGCCTTTTCTGGTGAGCCATGCTGGCCTGCTATTGTTCGGTTTTCGCTCATTGTCATCCTATTGGTGAGGTAACATAGATTATGACAGATACACTCATCAGCAAATCAATTTGGTTTTTACGGGAGACTCAAGTGAATCTCTCATTTATGATGTTCTTCAAATGAATGTGCTGCACACATGCTGCCTTGTGTTTCAGTTGGTACGATATTCGAGATATCGCAGTATATTTTCATAAAGGAAACTACTCGCAAGGTTGCTGAAAACTCTTCGACAGCCAGTGTGCAAACGATTGATTCTCAAACGAAATAATTCCAATTTGGGTTCAAGTAGAACATAAGGTTGATGGAAACTTGGGGAGTGCGCCCATCTGATGAGCCCCAAGAAGAGCAAAATCGGGCGTGAGTTCTCGAAGAGCTTTCAGCAACCTTGTGAGTAGTTCCCTTTATGATAACATAGATTCTCTTCTTTCAGATGACACCAGACGATCGCGCCCGGACATAATCTCGCTCCGGGTTAGGCCGCGTGTCTCAACACCCAAAGTTAAAATAGTAGGTGCTAATCTGCCAACCCAAGTAACTGGCTAAGTAAAAAGACCGGTGCACTTGTTTAGATTCATTGACTAAAGCCACTCGGAGTGGTTCGTTCCATGAATTGAAACAACACGATCAACAGAGAAAGATATAATGCAGTAACTATCACGATACCGTGCACTGAATTGTGTGGTCCCCGTGACACAATAAACCCGACTTGGATAACAGACGATGGTCATCGACAGAGGGACGTTATAGTGGTCTACTTCGAAGCACAACGGTTTATGCGAGTTCACAGGCAGCGAAGTGCAAGTGTACTGTTGTGACCGTTGTGCACGAGGTCTAACTAAAATGTGCTGTACAGCACACTTTTCAATCAGTCATTTTTTGAAGATACTCGAATCTGGTTGCTCCAAAGCTGTTTGAAAAAGCGCTTGTCTGCAGACACTGTATCGTAGTTTTTTGGACCTCATCTGTGAACCGGAAACTTGAATTGAATGTGTTATTATCAACAGCAACGATGTTTGGCGATTTGTTTTATCCTCATCCAGTCAAGTAAGGCGGTAAACGCCCTACATTGATCCCAGTCACTATATCCGGTCTTCCAATTTGTGCATTTGAAAGCCTATTTAGGTGAGTAGAAAACATGCCCTTTTCCGCTCCGAACCAAGTCGACAATGATTGCTCAATTTCACAACCTGTATCGCTTCGGCACGCTGTTTGACAACATTACAAAGGACGCTGCTTTTTTTCATCTAGATACTCGCTAAAAGCATTGATCAGGTTTAAGGTAGTAGGCATTTTTACTCTACCATCCACTCGATTAATACAGACGGAGCTAGTGTGAAGGAAGATTTGTGAACAGAATTACACTTGTAAGAGTCAGTGGGAGGTAATCCATTATTCAGCTCCTCAATTAATGCATCTTAAAAGTACTATGATCCTCACGTTGTCTTCCTGAGCTGTCATGCTGCGTTCTCATCATTGCAGGCAGCAGCGTCTATGTTGACACTACTGTGTCACTACCACACAACCACATAATCCATTCTAGAAAAGTTCCAACTAAGGGGTCTACTGCTTGCAGGGTTCCCCTAAGAGTGTTAGTTATTCAATTAGCGCATCCACCACTGCACGTGACTCTTGTGCTTGGGTGCCTTATTTTCCTTTGTGCTTGTTTCCTCTACAGGTTGGACAGAAATGTCACATTGAGTGTGCCAGATTCAGCCCCGATGGGCAGTTTCTTGTCACAGGCTCTATGGATGGCTTTATTGAGGTGTGGAATTTTACGACCGGGAAACTCCGCAAGGATCTCAAATATCAGGCACAGGTAAGGTACCCATTTGTTTGGCATGGCTGCTCCATTTAATCGATGTTTTTCGTGCATTGAGATGCCTTCCAGTTGTATTCCATATAAAGCGCATGCCTGATAAGACGGAAGCCCTTCACATTTTGGTGCGTTATTAGCGGTGACACTGGTGGTATGCTTTCTAACCACGCTGTCTCTTTTCCGCCTTCAAATAACTCACTTCTTGTTGTACGTTTACAGGATACTTTCATGATGATGGAAGAAAGCGTTCTGTGTTTGACATTCAGTCGAGATTCGGAAATGTTGGCGTCTGGGTCGAGTGACGGTAAGATCAAACTGTGGCGAATCCAGTCTGGTCAATGTCTTCGTCGTTTCGAGAAAGCGCACAACAAAGGAGTCACAGCCCTACAATTCTCCAAAGACTCGACCCACGTTCTGAGTGCCAGTTTTGACCATAGTATTCGGTGAGTTCCGCGCACCATTAAGCATTTCCTGATGCCACGCGTGCCTGTTTTCCTCTTAATTTCCCACATATTTATTGTTTTATGTCAGGTTTACGCGTCTATTCCCTAAGTGTTCAGCTGAGGCTTGTAGGGCAAAAGAATTTTGTTCCTCTCGAATGCTTGTCAAAGTGCGTGATATACCAGTTATCGACGTAATAAATGTACTACATATAGCACTGTATGCACTACTTATTGAGTGTGCTGTCAAAGCCCTGTAGTACATCAGATCCAGATCTTTTAAATTGCTTCCTTCAAGAACTCTGTTAGGACAAGTAAATCAACCTTGTAGCTCTACTTTGCTTGCTGGCTAACCGAAATGATGCGGTCGGTCAGGAAGGGACTTCGATGTGCATCGCAGAATGCGGTAGGTATGCTATTCCGTCCCATTAGAACGCCAACTCTACAAGACCATGGTGGGGTTTTGTCTACACCGTTTCTTTACTTTACCTGACTGGAAAGAAGGTATACCGTACAATTTGTCAAGTAACCTTGAAACACGGCGAAACCGATAAATATTCGAACTTTTCTCATGTGAGGCGAATAGCGCGGAAACTGAATGGTGATTCATTCGGACGGCCGAGAGGACCCGGATTGTAGGAACCAGCTGCTGAATGGTAATTTCGCCCCCCTGATTCAACATCGTAGCTTCCTGTTTTCGATCTTCGTCGTTTATAATGTCTAGTGTAACCACATACATCAGATTCGCATCATCGTTGCCATTGAGGAAGGCTGATTGCATCTTAGATGATATTCGGAGTAACAACAGCAAGGTAGTATTTAGAGCCCCTCCTCAACACAAACCACACATGGCTGATTCGATTACAATGCTGTTATAATTTCTGCTTTCGGAGAGAGGGCTTTTTTGGTTATATTTTCACGATTTAAAAGCCATAACACCGTTTATGCCTAATTATTCCAGCTGTTGTTACGAACTTTTATCAACATCTGAAGAATTTCTGACTGTACGGTTCAACACCTCAACTATATGCTTTTGGTTTGCGTGAACATTCTATGCCGTATCCGTCCATCCCTATCTGGTCCATCCGTGTAATCTGGAAGGCCCGCGATGGTATCCAGCCCATGAGTGGATGCTTGCACACATTTCTGTTGCTAATGACGTTCAGGACCTATTCCTTTTCACTGCTTCTGATTAGTATTTTCTTTATACGCTTCACGTTTTTGTGCCACTGAGGCGCCTGAAAACGAATTCTGGTAGTATTGGTTTGCAACATTCGCGAGGCCGACGTACCCGGGACTTCTCCATCTCAGTGACATGGCAAAGCTCCTTAATTAGTGGTACCTGTGTATCCAGTTGCTTGTCTCCAAGCTTTATTCTACTATTTCCCCGCACTGATTCCACCTTCAATTACTCTCCTAAGTTTACACTATCGGCACTCAATTACTGTGGCTACCCAGATCTATGTATAATGCTACTCAATGCATTGTTCAAAAAGTGAACTGAATCAGCATCCACCGCTGAAATTTCGACATGCACACACAGTTATCGTCAGACTGGCCAGTGGGAATCCACTGATTCAGATGATCCAGATGATGGTCTACCTACGTTGTCTTCATTCTCATTAGACGATAAAATGTTCCCCCGACTTCACACCAACTCACGCATCGTTCTGCTCTCACGCCGCCCCAGACGCTCCCGTTCTGTCGCCGATTCTCATCGTTGTTCTTCAGTGGTGTTCTCTACGGAGAGCCATCGCATCATCATTTCCATTCTGCAACAGTGAATCCCAAAACGCGTCTGTCTTAATTGCTATGCATCATTCTCGTTTTCCCTTTGCTAATGTGACCACCTTATCGGTCTTTTTGTTCCTAGTATCCATGGTCTCAAATCTGGAAAATTGATCAAGGAATTTGTAGGACATACGGCTGTTGTGAATTCCGTCGGGTTCACCCCAGATGGTCACCACATTCTCAGCGGAAGTGCAGATGGTTCTGTTCGGGTTTGGTCCATTCGGTCTGGTGAATGTACCAACACCTTCAAAGTAAGTTCATGTCGTAGTTGTGTAGCCCAGTATTTCAAACATCCTGGACGCATAACACGGTTCAGTCCACGTCGTTTGTTGTGAATTGAGGACATCAAATTTTACTCAGTGCGTATTTCATTGCGCCCCTCGTGCATCTCACATTTCAGTCCTCATGGAATAATACTGAACGAATATTTACCCATTTCTCCAACTTCTAACAAGCGAGAAGCTAAGTAATCTAACCCGAAGTAGTAACTAGCAAGTTTGAGTGAAGTTGATTAGGTGCAGTTTGATTCGTCTAGTTTAACTCTGAATTCTTATCGTTATTTACATTCTACGCACCGTTCAGTTGCAATACGTGTCATATTAGCGGAGTGCACGGTACCGCTGCTACTAGGAAGGAAAAGGTCTATCATACCAGTTGATTTCATGATGACTTACTCGCAATGGATACCCGTCTAGTTTGCTCCAGCCATTGGTATAGATGTTTGTGATTTCCGGCACTTTCTTTCGGTAACTTCAGTACCGAAGGCCATTTACCTGACTATTGTATAGCGTACGCCCTGACTGAGCATTTCAGACCATTTTATACCAACCCAGCCTTCTTTGCTTCAGCTAATCGTTATTGGTCGACAAATTTGTGCTGAGAAACGCACCCATTTGGGGCTCATCTGCATAGGTTCATGATGAGTGAATTGCATTGCCGATCTCCAAGTAGGACGTGTGAACGCGCGGACACTGCCACCGTCTTGGGTTGAAGCTGACAAAAGTAATCGTTCTGCGCGTGCGGTCATGAGGGAAAGCAAAATAATAACTGAGCCCGCACAATCGCACGGTCGGGGTCAAGTTGCGTGCCCCAGAAGGAACGGGAATATTTATTTGAGGCTCTTCATGACAGTTGATGGTCACGTGACACAACTGACTCCATTTAATAATAATAATAATAATAATAATAATAATAATAATAATAAGCCTTCAGCCTCAGCACCATTTTGGTACATAGCTGCTGTTCTGCCCGAAGTAAGCACTAAGGTTGAGATACTGCCAGATTACACAAACCGAGACAGGAGCAGTAGAAATGCCGGAGTGGGTTCGAACCCCGAACTCTTTGACTCCATGATTGGCTTGTGGTTCGTGGCCTCCAAATAACTCGATGTAAGCGCTCGCGATGAAAGCTTACACTAGTCAGGAACGGACGATGTTCAGCACACCTGGATAAATCGCTCCCTACTATCCACACGCTGATCATCTACCACCCAACTGTGCTTCTTCCGGGATTAGTTGTCCTGCCAAGGTGATTCTATTGTTCAAGCTAACAGATAGAAGCCCTTCTTTCTCAGTTTCTGAGCTGTAGTCTGTTGGGCCGTTAGCTGAAACGACAAGTGGACACCGTTCACCGAATCGACCCATATTAGTACCAAACCAAGCAGTCAGCCATACAGCTTAAAGTGCTTCCACCTATGTGGCTGAGTGTAACTCCTACACCAAAGGTACCACAACCATTGCATTGGGATCGCCAGATACCCGAAGATTGAAATGTGAGACATGTGGATCCGTCCCAAGTAGCTTGAGGCGCGTGACCGAAGTGGGGCCTTGTTTGCGTGTCTCGCGGGCACAGCGTACATTGACGTCAAGCGATCCCCGTTGCCTATTCTGGCAGAAAGTATGAGCATTGAAAGCTGCAACATGGGTTATATCTTGTGAATTTACTAAGAGATTATTTTGGTTCACTTCTTTGGGCGACACAGAAGACCAGTTAGGGCACTGTCAAGACTTCTGACCGCAGTGGGACATATGAAGAGTTTGGAGGGGATGTGAGTGGTGTCCGATGGACGAAGAACCGTAGCGGTGAATGACACTTCCGGGTTTCTTGGACAGAGGGGTGAGTTTCCTTTCGGGACCCTGAGAAGCCAGGGATTCAATAGTCTATCTCGCCCAGCCTGACCGTGAAGAGAGTAAGACATAGATGTCTTACTAATGCTGCGCATAGCAGATCTTTTTATGGCCCAGTCGGGCTTTTGGTTGGTTGTGCTCTTGTTTCGGCTGTAATTGACAATGCACCTGTTGTCACTGTTAAAATTGGGACGACTGGAGTGAGCGGACTTTAGGGCCAACCTTTGCTAACCCGACTTTTCTTCATGAAACGCAGCTGCTCCCATAAATAAGAAAATTGCCGTTTGGTTGGAGGAAGCACTCTACTATATTTCCACTCGTATCGCAGAAGACTACTCTACTCGACCTAGTATTACGGCCAATCGGAGTATAAAGTTTCTCTGTCCTTCATCCGACTGCTCCTCGCTGACGTCCCTGTCCTAATTTGACTTTGTGAAACTGAGTTCCATTCAGCATGAACCAATGATTCATCGCGGCACTATAGGCTGACCATCACGGCATAGCGGCATCTTTTGGTCGGGCTCCCAGCGTACACACCAGTAATGAGAGTTTTGTCCACTGGAGAGTAGAGCCCAACATCATAGGACCTTCTGGTCTTTCCGTTTGCTTTTTCGCCTTCTCTTTAAGTAGCATAATCAACCTCCGTCGTTTTTTCGCTTTACTCAGGCTATTTCCGGTCTTGTCGGTCGCGAGGTGGCGATTCACACTGTTCTGCTGATGCCTCGGAACGCAGACCAGTTTGTTGTCGGGAGCCGTTCCAATACAGTGGCTATCATGAACATGCAAGGCCAAGTAAGTGATGTTGTCATACATGAATGAATCACGTGTCTTTCGTGTCTGATCCACAGCTGAGCCTCTGCTCCGCATTTCCATGCTGTTTTAGGTTGTTCGCAGTTTCACTAACGGAAAGCGCGAGGGAGGTGACTTTGTGGATGTCACTGTCAGTAGTCGTGGTGAATGGATCTATGGGGTTGCCGAAGACCGTCTACTCTATTGTTTCAACGTTGCTGCTGGTGGCAAGTTGGAACGTACCATGCCTGTAAGCTTGGCTAGGTTTCACTGAATGTTCGTCTTTTGTATGTACCATGTTCATGGTTAGCTCTTTTGAACTTGCGGCGAACGACGTTGATCTTTGTGTAACTGGGCACCTTTTGAATGCTGCCGAATGGTCTCTAAACTGTCCCAGGTACAAATCTCTCTGTGATGGATATGTGACCGTAATGTTTAAGAAATGGTCCCCGTTATTGCAAAAGGAAAGTCTTACTCCTCTGTTTTGATAGACTGTTGAGTTTTCGTCAGGCACAAGGTTTGCCGAAAAATCGATAAGAACTGTGTAGTCTCCCCGTCCTGTCTCGGAATCGTCAGCAGTGAGGATCTCACGAATCTTTACGAGGCTTAAGGCCCATATCCTTTGAGTTGAGTAATATGTCCAGAAAGAGGCACGCCTCGACAAGACAAATGGATCTTCATCTAGAAAACCCTCACTTGACAAATCAGTCAGCACGAGGTCAACTGATCAGGGACTACACCGTTTTTGGATTAGTTACGCTGTTCCGTCTAATGGCCTGTTGGATTGGTTGTTGTCAACTACGAACCGGATAGTTGTGGGTTTCGACTCCCTTCAGGCTCGCTAGCTGTGCGCAGCCGATGCTGATTCCCGATAAGGTTGAAGCAGCTGTGCAGTGTTTTGCAGTTCTTCAGCCATACCTTTTTACGTGAAGTCAAAATTGAGGCATGACCTGTCTACAGGCAGTCTTTTTACAGTGATGGCCCCTCCGTGGTGACCCTTTTTCGTCCACTTCTCGTGTCCCTTGCAGAATGTCTTCCCGCCACCCCGGTCGCTACCGAGAACACATTTGTCCCCACTTCTCCAATTTAACTGCACCTGATCTCAAATGAGTGTCACAATGTACACTTCAGTTCGTAGTCAAAAGACGGGTTTCAGCGTATCCTACAGCACCAACCTATCTAGAGCAACATTTTAAAACGGGTGTGAACTAATGGTAGGAACGTTGTAGGTCAGAAGTCTTTTCGCCGCGTGATGGATGTAACAGCACCTATCCTTCTATCATCCAGTTCACTTTCAGCCGGTTGGTAATACCGATCGTATGCCCAGCTTGTGAAGCGAAACGAATGTGTAGATTATTCCGCGAATAGGTTTGTTCCCTCCCCTAACATGCTGGGCTCTCATACCGAGAAGACGGTCGTCATACTGGGACGAGATTTGCCACCTCTTTGCATAATGCTGGGAGTTCCACCTGTGGTACGGTACTACCAGGCGCACCCAGGCACTGGATATCAGGCCGAACAGTGGCACCCCCTTAATCTCGAAGAAATATCCCATCCGGTCCTGAGCATAACTTGAGACAAATTATCAGAAGTCAAATGAAAGTGAGTGCACCGGTCGATGTATACGGAAATCTAAGGGAATAGAAAAGACCCAGAAAACCGGGAATGCTCGAAGGTTATTTCAGTTGATCCATGCGACCTGTCCCCGAAAACCATCTTCGAGCGAATTAATCAAGGATCAGAACGAAGCGACCAATTTGAATAGAGAAGAGCCCCTCGACCGGTGGGCTGAATATTTCGAAAAATAATTCTCTCGGCCACCAGCTGCCCTCATCTGGAGCCCACAGTTATCGTAGAACCCTGGACGGTGAGGTGGAATCCCTTACGTCTTTATGGCTGCATATGTTCACTCAACTACCACCAAACTCCTGGTCTGAATAACCTCCCACGCGCATTGTTCAAAGATGGGGGTGAAGTCTTGAGTTAGCGCTTGTCTAATCTGCTTACGTACATTTGGGAAAAGTAAACTGTCCCAGACAACTGGAGGGAATCTGTGATAGTGCCCAGTCGTAACGAGACCCTCGTTGTCACTTCTGCTTCGTCGCCTTATGGTGACTCGTGAAACACTGACTCGAAAGCTGCAAGCGAGTTTCCGGTCTGATAGAGGTTGTTTTGACCGAAGCTTCATACTCAATCAGATTCTAGGACAACTCCTACGTACAAACGACCCACAATTTTAGTATTCCTGGAATTCCAAGGCGCACTCGACTCAGTTGACTCATCTGTTCTCCTTGACACGCTTGCCCATCAAGGAATTCCCCGGAAGTTTACGAATGCAGTACTTTCTTTTCCGGGAAGTTTTGAAAACCCCGGTATCCAAATCCCACCTGACGAAAACCTTGTCAATCTAGAATGTGCATACAACATCGCTCTCGTCTTCGAAGAGGAGAAGAAGGCGCAATTGTTTCTAAATGAAATAACCAAAGTCCTTTTGCATGCACTTTGCACCCACAAATTGTAAAGGTATGTTCATGGACATGCAGTCACTAAGCCCGCCGCCTACAATCCAGGGATAAATACTCGAAATTGTAGAGCGTTTTACTTCTGAGTGTAGTGTGACAGATAAGGTCAATCCACAAATCTTCAAGGCTCGGGTCACGTTTGCTAGTTTGAGACACCTATGGCATCAAAGAGGTATGTCCGTTCATCTCAAGGGACGAGTGTATCAAGCTACAATGTGGGTTGTTTTCTTGTCTGTCTGAGACTCGGCCTATTCGAACAGCGTAACCGAGACGTCAGCTGTTCGATAGTCGCTGTCTCAGGACCATAACCTGTGTTTGTTGATATCGGAAGGTCTGCCACAAGGCAGTTAGAAAGTGATTTTTCGGCTGTGCAACAGTGACTTTCATTGACGTGTGTCCAGCATCAGAAGCCGTACTGGTTACGCCATGTATTGTGCATGCCGACGATCGTTTGCCGAAAAGTGTGCTGTTTTCTGTGGCCAGTTCAGACTGGAAGAAGCAGAGAGGTAGCCAATCCTTGACCTAGCACAGGAGTATGAAAGAGATTATGAGAATCCTGGATGCCGTCGGTGCTACTCGGGTTCCCGGAGGTTAAGGTACCTTGGAATGATTGTAGTAAGCTAACACTGAGCCCCTTCTCCATCCACCCATCTCTAGACAATAAGGATTTCAAAGTAACCATGGTTGTACGGTAGCGAAGCATGAGTGTTTAACACTGACGTCATTCTGTTGATCGTGATGTTCACTGCTGAAGTTTTACCAATTTATTGATATAAATATGGCCTCAGGAAAGTTGTGGGCGATTTTGAAAAAGTTTTTTGCCATATAATTTGCGGGCACATAGTAATTGGACGATTATGTAGAACAACCCCCGCCTTCATTGTCTGTGGAGCCTTAATTTAGCTTTGTATTGCTCACGGCTGTGTAACTGCCGGTACTCAGTGCACTCAAGTGTTCTGGGAATAGGCGTGTTTACATTGCATTACTTCAAGAGAAAGAAAGCCTGTTTTCCAAGCACTTCAGGAAATCACTTTCATCCAAGTATATACAACGGGGAAAATTTCGAAACTTGTCGCTTCAGAACGTAAAAGTCTATCAAGCGTCCTTCTTTAGGTTGATAAAAGTCCGTGTAATGAGGGCTTCCATTCCAGAGCAATATCCATATTCATATTAGTAAAAATACTTTTACAGTAAGCGTTGGCTAGTGAATTCCTCTTCGGATCTTCATGCCTCCGGACACTGTTTGAATTTTTATGTCATTTTATTCTAGTTCCTTGCAATTATTCCTAGCCAAGTGATTCTAGACATTATTTGAGAATTTAGATGACATCAAATTCTCCTCATCTGCTTGAGATCCCACCTAGTATGTCCTATCTCCCAAATGAGTTGGCTTTCCTCTTGGTTGGCCTCATTTGATACTCGCACAAATTTGTCGATGCATGTCCGAAGCGTCACCCTTCTATCTGTTGTTTTCAATAGTCACTTTACTGTGACAGGGTTGATTTCAGGCAACGCCAGCTTCAGGTCAGTCCATCTGGATGCTCTGCCCACTTTCGGGACGTTGTTCAAAGCGAAACAGGGCTTACAGAGCTTACAGAGCTGGCCCTCATCCTGGCATCCAAAACAGGTGCACCACTTGATCTCACCTGGGCACCCGGTACTGTTTGCGATGAGGAAACCATGTGACCAACACTTTGGTTGGGCTCAGTCACTGAATGTTCTCCGGCTATGAGGATGCAAAATAAAACGTGTCGTTTATTGTGTACAAGCTATTCCCGTGAGTACGAACATGTATGTCACCTTAGGGGAGTGATACTTCTCCGTGTACTAACCCCAGCCAACAAGGGGAAGGGTGTTTGCGCGGTATGAGAGGATTCTGTTAGTTGATGGCAATCAACTGACGATGGCTTCCTAATACAGTTGGAAAGCTTACCTTGGCTGATCAGGCTTCCCTTTCTGTAGGTGTCCGTTGTTGGAGTTCATTACACTAACCTCGGTCTCATTCATTTGCTCCAATGTGAATGTATCAGCTGTTTGGCTTACACAAACTTGGTGCGCCATATTTGAACTCAGCCGAGACGAACGCTCCACCAAATAGATGACACTACATATTCGAAATCAATGGGTACGATAGACGGTAAATGTACTGAAGCTTTACCGCAGAACCAGGCTGGAGACTTGGAGTTTGATGGTGACCTCGGTGATCCACAGCAGCTCGGCGCACTGCGCCAGCCTATCTCAGCCGCAAAGGTGCAAGCAGGCGAAACATCTGGTCCATTTACCCTGGACCCAGCGAATCGTTCGACAACGTAAACAGGCTGTTTGAAGTCTGTGCAAAGAGCTAAAATTCCGTTTTCCATACGAATAACCGTTTTGTGTGGTCCTTAATAGTCATCACTCGCGCGATACCTCCAAGAGGTTCATCTTCCCAGGGTGGTATTTCGTGATTCTTCGACATATGTCAACGGATGGAGGGTTCTAGCACTGTCGTTCAGTCATAGTTGATTAGCAATCGGTGCTGCCACTTATGGTTTAGTTGCCATAGCCAACAAATAATACGCGTTTAGAACAGTTGCTCTGATACTGTGCACGTGATATATTTACTGGGAGTTAGGACAGTGTATCATCCGTCTTATCCATCCGAACCCTTCCCCCGGCCACATACCTAATGTCTTTCTGTCCAGTTTGGGTATAGGTTGAACATGCTCTGGTTGTTTTGCCATTCCCATGGACCGCATGTGGATTGTACACTGTTGATGGGCTGTTTTTGCCCATCCCAGTGCAAATCGTCAACCTGTTCCCTACAATTTAATTACGACATAACTGTCGTTGCTCTAAGTTCAATGGAGCTCATCTTCAGTTCAGCCGTGTATATCGCAGGTTCACAGGCACAGTTGTCGTGTCTTTATTCCAGTTGTAACTTTGTGGTACGGAAGCGAAAGTCTCGCCAATTCATCTCTTTGTACGCCCTCTTTACAGGTTCACGAAAAAGAAGTGATTGGATGTTCCCATCATCCACATCAGAATTTGATTGCCACGTATTCTGAAGACGGGCTCCTTCGTCTTTGGAAACCGTGATTATTGTACAGTATGTTCACCCGTGTGTTCTCTTTTTTTAGCTGCCTCTTCATAAAGCACGTTCCTCTTACTGCCTATGTTGTTCCTCGATCAATTGGGTTCTTGTATTCACAACGTTCGCATGGCTCCACCAGGTAAGGCGGACGTTGTTTTCACCGCTGTGGTGAGCTTGGAAAAGTTGAAAATCACACGTTAGGATGTCATCGCGGGAAATGTCGTCGTCGTCTATCTTTCTTGGCTGCCTCTTACTCCGTCACCAAACAGCAAAATCCAATTCTTCGATGTTTTGAGACGTATTCTCGGTATTTGTTATATCTGCTGATTCGCCAATCTGTGGTATCTGCTGCTGACCCGCTTCAGGGTCTATTTTCCGAAAAAAGACTCACAGAAGGGAACACAGCAGCTATATTATGAACAAGCGAGTGCGAATGTACAGCGGTGTTGGAGGGACACTGTCTGAACTTGGTTCAATGCTGACGCACACGGTCTGGCTTTGTTACGAGGTTGCAACGCGCTACGTATTGCGGGGGCGTTGTCTGTCTCGTCAACATCTGGCGGAGCTGAGAGTCTCGGTAGATTTCGCGCATTCAGTGGTTGCTTTCAGGAATGTGACCTTCCTTCCGCAGCTCTCAGATTGAGGTTGACACATTCGCATAGAGGACTGTCCCACAACCGGAAGTTTATTGGAGTAGGCCGGGAGCATGGATACAGGCTTCTGTGTACGTGCACATCGAGCTGGTATAAAATGGATGCTTTAACTCCGTCGCAATGTAATCTGAATATAGAACCTGCCTCGTCAGTGCCCTTCACCGATCCAACTCACTGTTTGGAAAACAGTTTTTGTTTGCGAATGTTTTTGCCGTGTAGTTTATTCGCACCGACGTCTCCACGAGTGCACGTGTAATCCTCCACCGGTACCTTGCGGTGACAGTAAGACAGGAGCCTAACACAGTAGCCTTACCACATCAAAAAATCGCAAGAACTTATTTCACAGGCGGGATTGCTAGGTTGAAGACTTGACCCCTTGAGGATGGTAGATCTTCAGATCGAATAAAGATACCGACAGTCTTTTTTCCCTTTTTCTCTCGTATGTGGTTGGAAAGACAAGTGCTAGAACAATCGAGTAGATTAAATATTTGTAGCAGTGGGGGGAATGACAGGAGCCTGAATAGCGCGGGTTCGGTGGGTTGCGAAAGTTTCTGCTCATATATAAGCGTTTCTGGTTGGGTTTGGACTACAGATGTGTAAGTGCTCAGGCTTTCATCAAACGGCTCCCCGGTTAGACCGTAGGTGTCAGGAATATTGTGCCGTATGGGAATGGGTTTACATTCACAGAAATAGAATAAACAAATGCTAGTTGGCGGTAAACCGTAGAGCATTCTAGGATAAGATTGTTGGACATTTGTCTTCCTTATAAGTGAGAGGCCCATTGTGTAGGCTGCCCCAGGGGATCGGGTTAGCGTGAAGATATCGTCCATGGATAGGGCAAGCAGTTCAGGCTTGAGCATCCGATCTTAAAGCACTGTCTTGTGTTGAACAGGTGCCTATGCGAAAGACCCGTCAGGCAAGTAACCTTGAAACCAATTGAGTGAGATACCTGGTCGAACTTGACGAGGGTCCTGGGAAAATCTACGTATCTGGTGGAGCCGGCATGGATGTTTCAAGAGGTTTGTAGCACCCGCCTCTCGTAAGACGAAGTGTAGACTGCAAGAGGTTTGTGGGGCTGTCCAGAGCCCTTCTGGATTATCTTGGGGAGAATTAGTTGTATGGTAATGGGCCGGTAATCTTTCGAGCTTTATCTGTTACCATTTTTAACAGGAAGAGCGATAGGATGGTACTCCCAGTAGTGAGGGAACTCTCCAGAAGTGAGACTTCAGGCGTATGATTAACGGGGATTTTTCGAACAGCGCCCACGATTGTCAGCCAGCCGATATTTTTATGCTCAACAAACAGCTTCTGTTTGACTAATTCCTCACGGACATCAGGTGGGGTAATGGGACACATGTAATCAAACTCATCGACAAATTAACGGTTGTCTCTGTCAACGGAAAAGGAGTATGTGTAACCGTGATTCGCCCCTAAAGTGGACAGTGAAATCTCGTTGTCTCTCCTATTCGCTTTGGACCATCTTGATCACGGTGACCGTCCACTTTCACGCTTTGGACTGAGCGGTTCTTTTGAAGCGCATCTGCAACAAAAAGCTCTGAATGTCGGTGCTTTATTTTTCATTTAAATTGATCATCTACGTTGCTGTTGCTGCAACTTTACTACAGTCCACATGGACTTTGTACTGGAATCGGACGCATTGCATCCGGAATCAAACGTACACCTAATTTTCGGAAACTGAGGCAGATAAAAAATTCATGCTCGCATGTATTCCGATGTTCTGCTCTTCGTCCGTATTGAACAGCGTTTCTAATGGTTTGGTACTGTCTCGACCGAACTCTCGATGAGTTAAGCGTAGCCAAAATGATCTGGTTCTCCAAGGTAGGTGATGATTTACGGCAAAATGTCAACGGTGCTACTCAACAGATACCTAAACTGTGGCACCTGGTGCGAAGAAAGCAGCAGAATATCTCAATGTCAGTGTGCAAGCAGTGCCCCATAAGAAGAGAAGATCAGGATAATTCAACAACCACTGATACCGCAGAAACAACACTAGCAAAGGTAAATCACGTTGATCAGCAGCTAAGGTCAGAGTGGGTTACTTGTCAGTCAGTCATCCATTGTAGTAATCAGTAGGTGACTTCATATAAGCATCCTCAGCTCCAGGTTGATAACACATCATATTACCACTCAAGCGATAGTATACAGGTAAAGAGTGCTGTTTCTGATAAAACTGCTATTTCTGTAGGTAAAACTGTGGTGAACAAGACTGATACTCTGTTCATTGCTCTATTCATTATTCTCTTGTTTTAATATTCCATATGCTGTACATATTCGCCAATTCGAATACATACGTGCTGGTTGTTACGCTTCGCTGAATTCTGGATTTCTAGTTCGTCTGGTTATATAAATTCCAAATGAACATGACCGATACTCTATTCGTTGCTCTATTCAGTATTCTCTTGTTTTAATGTTCCATATGCTGTACATATTCGCCAATTCGAATACATACGTGCTGGTTGTTACGCTTCGCTGAATTCTGGATTTCTAGTTCGTCTGGTTATACCGATATAGGTACGAAACTTAATTCTCAACAAAACCCTCCGGTTTTTCAGGGTTTCTCTAAACTTCGTCGAGCATTCTTTATGTTCTAATAGTGTTTAATTATGAGCGAACAATTGGTGCAAAACTTTTTGACTTAACTTATGCGAACGACGTTACTGGCCAGATTAAGCTGGATGTAGATATTGTGTCTCTTTGAGCGTATTTATCGGCTCCATGTCAGGTGATGCAGGAATCCACAGACGTACCAATATAGTGTTCCTCAGTAGTAGCTGCCAATATGATATGAGAGCATCCAGTCGGATGCATATAGCACCCCATATCATTGGATGAAGGGTTCATGGCGACACCACCCACAAAATCCATCGAAAGACAGCTTGCGGGCTCCAGTTCGGTTATCCCTTTGAACATTATCCACGTCTGGAGATCAGTAGCAAACACTAGCCTGGAAATCATGCCTCAGCTTGATGGTCGTTCAAGCAGACCCTAAAAGTTACCTCCAAAACAGGGCAGTTATTGGTGTTAGTTGTTTCCTTCTATTCCTCTTGTGTACAACGTGATTCCCGGTTATATTTTTTCCGCTTCGCGTCTAAACCGCCCCGCTAGTTTTAACTGCCTTGTGACCTTGCTATCGCACGTCTTGTTCAAATCAACACGTGGGTTCTGTTATCTTGTCGCCACCCTGCCTTGAGTTAGTGTGAGTTTTAGGATGCCGTTTGAAATTGTCAGTTCCTAAACCGGTGTGTAGAACCGGGCGTAATCCCATAGGTTGGGGCTTTTACAATTTTATTAGTTATTATTGTATTCGCAGTGCCGTATTTGTTGATAATCCTCAGTTTGGACGATTGAACTTTTGTGAATCCGAGCGTAACTGAGTGTAGCCCAACTAATCACTTGGGACAATCAATAAGTGATCCCTTAATAAACAGGGGTAGTCGCTTTAGGAAGTGTGAGTAAAGTTCATCTGGCCTGGATGTCATCCATTTATCAAGTGCCAGATAGTATCCTACTGGCTTTGTTCGGGATATCAGTATCCATTAGGCTCCCCCCACTTCGGTGGCCTTTTCTCTAAAGTAAACACAGGTTCACGTTGCTCCCAGGGTATTTCATCCGTCCGTTTTGTCGTTGATCATCAGCGTGTTACAAGAAGTAACGTAAAGTGGTGGGGTTATACCTTCCTTACTCTTCACAGTTCTTTAAACACTTGTAGATTCGACAGGATTCAGAACTTAACTGTGAGAATTGAGTGTCGTACGTATATCGGTATAACCAGACAAACTAGAAATACAGAATTCAGCGAAGCGTAACAACCAGCACGTATGTATTCGAATTGGCGAATATGTACAGCATATGGAATATTAAAACAAGAGAGTAATGAATAGAGCAACGAATAGAGTACCAGTCATGTTCATCACATCCACCACACCTTGAATGAGCGTATGGATGTTTATAGTCCAGTGGTGGTCTTGACCGCCATCTTTCGGATCTTCTCGGAATAAAAACTTCATACTCGTCACAGGTTATGTGTTCTTCAGGTACGCTTTGTTCAGATACCGTAAGATCATCTACAAAGGACTCATTAGTATTTGAAACAGCAGCAGTGCCGTTAACAGACTGACATTCGGTATTGAACGTAACCTGAGTAATGTGTCTCCGATGATAAGAGCGATCATCCAAATCGAGAATTGTGACCATTCCTTTGCCATTTGATGAAAGTACTATTCCTGTAGCAAGTCGTAAATCATTACCCTTGAAAAATGTAACATCAGCCGTTTTGGCACAGTCAAGACTTGTACGCAACGGACGAGATTCAAATAGAAGCGCAGGACTCATCCCAGTAACGGAATGGACGGCGTTCCTGTATTGCATTAGAAAATTATCAATCCCACGGTCCCATTCCAAAAAGGTAATAGGAGAGAGTGAAATAATGACAGACTTAAGTGTTCCGACAAAATTCTCAGCAAGTCCATTCAACTGTGGATGTCGCGGAGCAGTAAACAGATGTCGACAACCAAGACCCTGCAACCATTCCTCGAGGAATTTTGCAGTGCAGTGTGTGCCGTTGTCAGTGACCAAAACAGCTGGTACACATTCATGGCTGAAGACTTTCCTCAATGCTTCCTGAGTGAATTCGGCACTTGCTGACTTAGTCAGAAAAACTTCAGGTCAACGTGAATATGCGTCGATAACGACTAAAGCATAGTATTTGCCGAGAAAAGGACCACAGTAGTCGGCATGAACTCGTTGAAACGCTTGACGAACAGGCTCGTGTGAGCCAAGTGGAACAATTCGTCTCCTGGGTATTTGCATGCCACCTGTAGGCTTAGGACATTTAGGAATCGGTTGTTTGATTTCATTTTCATTCACAGAAGTTGGTAAGGTGATACTGGTTTGCAGTGAGTGCAGAACTTTGAGTCTGATAACCGACGGTCCCGACGTTGAAACCAAGAAATTACAATCGATAGAGGTACCTTGGGGTAACCTCACAGGGATTGTGCACCGACCAACTAGAGGCACAGAATGTCCAGTGATACCGCGAATGTAGGCACTATCACGGCACTGGGGTAGGATGCAGTTGGCTAGCGTGGCCAGTTGGCTAGCGTGTGGAGAACGGTCTTGGGTCACTCGAGCTGACACGTGTTGGTGTGCGGTCATCAGTAGGAAGAGTAGTCATCACTTGGATTCCACTTGACCTCAACCCCCCTCAAACTAAATTGTCGGAACACTCACAACCCCACAAAGACTAAGGAAAATCTAAC